TTCATATTACCAGCAGGAATTGGGAGAGGGTTTTAGTTCCCTTTTAATTTGTCTAACATTTTTTAATTGAAGAAGCATAGTAATCCTTTTTCCATGAGTAGTCTATCTTTTTCATCCTACTCTTTTTGTCCCAAATTTCTGCAATACTTTTCAATTTGTATAGGTCTCTTTGTGAACAATCCCTTTAAGCAATGATGGGGTTAGGAGAGACTTAGAACCCAGAATATCCCTCTGATGAATGAGAGTAAAAATTTGAATTCCCTCGGTACTTTCAGGCTTCTAGTTTTGAGGCCTAAAATAGTATGTAACACACTGCAGACTGTAAGTACTAGTCTCAAAGCATCACCATTGTATGACATAGTAGAAAGAGAACTGGCCCTAAAGTCAGTGCCAAGGTTACCTCAGGCCTCCATTATTTATTATGATATGATCCATATAAGACTTAGATTCACTTTTCCCATCATAAAATAGGAATCAAGATATCTGTCTCATTCTGATGTTTCCAATAACCTTTTCTGATTACATTCATATTCAAGGATCATTGAGTGAGTTTTAGATGTAGTTTCTTCAAGAAGAAAAAAAGGTCAAATATCCCTGTAACGTAACTAAATAACATCCAAGTGATTCATGACTAGTAATAGGAGAATCTCCGGGTAGCAATAGGTTACTGGCCTATTATAAAAGTCTCAAACTGTTTTCCCTTGATATTAACCTTCCCCTTAGGGATATATGCCCTACATTGTGTCCTCAGGGAAAATCTGCTCACAATTTTTATATGCAGGTACCAAATACTTTCATAATTCCTCATGGTATATCTGAGACCAGTTTGGAAAATCTAACTGAGGCTCTATTTATTTGGGGGATGATTATAAACATCAAGACAAGGAAAATTTCACAAAACTAGACAATATCTTATCAGATACAGGTTGCTGCTCTTTGATCTCACACTGCTTACACCATCCTAGTTTCTGTCATGCTTTTGTGTGGTGAGCACTATCTTAACACCATTCCAGAATCCATTTCCAATGGATTCCAAGCCTCTATGTAGATCCAGAACCAGACTCCTGAACATATTGCCTGAACACTAGAGCCAGCCATATATAAGAACTTTTCATTATGGGAGCTAATTATTTCCTTGTTTTGATTAAGCATGTTTAAAATTATGTCTCTCTCTCTTTCATAAACAACTTAGTTTGTGCACATATTTTATCTTTATATCTTTTGCAGAACCTGGCAGGTGTCCATTATTTGTTAAATAAGTGTCTTAACTATTAGTTATACCACTATTTGAGAATTAAAATACATATTCCATGACCTAAAACTTATTGCAGAAATAAGTACATTCACTGAAAGTCATTCCTAAAATAAGGACCATAAGTAGAATTAAAAAGGTTTTCTCATTTATTTATTAGACATAAATTAATTACAAAACTGACTCAGATATTTAAAAATATTTCAAATCACAAAAAATTATAATTATTTAAAATATTAAGGTTAAATTATATTTTACATTTATAGGATATCCAATGTAATAATTGGAACTGGATGACTGGTTATGTTTATGTAACAAAATAATATAGATAAAAATATGACAAATATGTTAAGAAATATGCTTACAACATATATTTATAACTTGTAAACCAATTTTATTTGGTTTCATAATAAGTAGAGAAAAATGGTACATTTAATTTTTAATGAGAATCTTTTGGTAAACTGAAATAAATGTGAAATTGTATATCTTGTCTTTATAGGCAAGTGGTAACCTCATAAAAAATTATGATTGGATATATTAATTCTACTTTTTCCTGCACCTATGATGCAGATCAGTTGTTGAAATCCATTTGTCATATATATATGGTATATATATACACACATATATATATATCACATATATGTGTATATATAAAAATTTCTGTTTTCTTGAAATACAGGGGTGGGCAAAAGCAGATTTACAGTCATTTATATGGAAAAAGACATGGGTTATGATTATTACAATAGCTTCATTAACTCAAAAGAATGTCACAATGCAACTGTAAACCTGCTTTTGCCCATCCTTGTATATCAAATAGAGCAATTCTTTCCATTGATTCACACAATTTCTTTTCTTCCAACTTTTCAAAATTATAGTTTAGCATCACTGCAGTTTTAAATGACCCCATTCATTAATGGTCCTTAAGTGAAGCTTTCTAATGCTCTTATTTTCCAGATACTAGTGAGATATGATGAGATACTAGTGAGATAAGTATGATTTATTTTCAGATTATCAGAGAACACTGGAAATACTACCAAACTGTAATATTGACACTGGTTTTTAATTTTATAAGGTTAGTTAAGAGAATGCTGTACCCACAAAGCACTTAACTCTTTAAGTCACTTAACATCTGGAAGTCTCATTAATGAATCCTGGGTTAAGAAAGAACCTTTAACCCTAAATGCTGAAGACACTGGACTGGTCATATGCATCATACTAAAGAGATGCAAATCAACAAGACTACACTTAAAACCAGAAGACAAAATCCATTATGAGAATATCTTATGTACAATAGAAACATATTCATCATAATCACAAAAGTGTTTAGTTTTTATGTTTTACCTTATATTACTAAAATATCAACTGATTTACTGGAAGAGCATAGTAAAACCATAAAAACTAAAACATATTCAAGTTAGAGAAACTTCCAATTTTTTAAACATCAAAAAATGTGTATACATAATTAAAATGAATATAAAATGTGAAGACATGATTTCAAAAAGATGTAATTTCCTTCCATGTTACTATCCATGAAGCCCGAGCAAGTTATCCTAATTTACCACAAGTGTGCTGACATTTATTTAAACTGGACTTAAACAAATTTTCATTTAAAAGCTATTACATTTTCTGTACCTTTGACTTATATACCAAATGTACTGTGTTAAGCCTGAGTGTTTATTCATGGTATATAACACATGATACGGTACATAAAAATGCAAAATAAACATTTGCTTATTAACCCATTTTGTTGTACAACTTGATCATTTAGACTTTTGAAATAGCTATATTACTTTCTTGACTCCTAGTGTATTAAAGTGCAATCAATTCTAATTATTATGTTTGTTATTTTAAAAAGAGATAAATTTCAGCCACAAGGGGCACAGATACTACAATGTGAAAGGCACCTTTTTTTTTTTTTTTTTTAGAAAACAAATGTGTTCCATAGCTTTCTAAGTCTTTAAAACATTTGGAGAATAATATTAGTTGAAATCTTGGATTTCCCTTCATTAAATTTAAAGAAAACTGTGTAGTAATGAAACTATATAAAACAGATTGTTCAGCAAATAGATCAGCAAAATAAACAAAAAAAAAACAGCGATATCAACAAGAGCATACTTTTGCTTTCGGACATTGATTGTACAAGGTGACTTAGTGAGAGGTGGAAAAAAAGAAAAATGGGGAAAAGGTTCAACATGGTGGATTATATCATTAATTATAATTTGGTCCATATAAGCAGGTACACATCTGTATTATATAAATATTCTGAGGATAGGAAGCTTAGGGGATTCAATGGAACTAACACAAGCACTAAGAATACATTTTTATGTAGAAAGAAATAAATCATTGATGACAACATTTGCACTAAATCTATGCACACTTATTTAAAAATTAATGTCTCTATTTGTTAGATACAAGCTATTCTCACACAGTCCAAATTAACCTGCAAAATGGGCTCATATCCAAAAAAAGTACTACGATCAGAACACTGAATTCTAGAGTTAACAATGAATGACTCACATTTCTTTTTAATTATATATAAAGTCCATCCAACACAACCTCAGTGATTGTGAAAACTGAAGAGAATAGTACCCTGGGATGGCAGTGCTGGAGTAAAGGTGATGGGACCCAGTCTCAAATAATGGAATATTAGTGATTATCTACTTCAAATTCTGTGCACTGAGCAGCTGGGAAAACAATGCTCACACTGGGGAAGCAGCAGATGTGTGGCTCTGAGGTCTCATGAAGAAGGCCACAGTGCTTCACTGGCTTATATTGTATTTCCACCTTGTAGCATAGCATCTGAGACATGGTAGGTGTTCTACAAATATTTTGAGTGGGTTGTTGAATGAAAAAATGAATGAATGAATGAATGAGAGAGAGACATTGGCAGAACTCGGGTAGACTATATTTTCAGGAATAGATGTTTGTCAGCATTCAGAAAATTAGGGTGATAATGTATTCTGTTGCCACAAGCCCCTCAAAAATGTTCTTGTTTGGGGCTCCAGTCATTAAAGAGACAATAGCAGGTGCCTACAAAGCTGATACACCATGGACCACCTTGAAGAAATTTTAATTTTCTTTTAGCTTGTAATATATCTGTGGCATTGCTTATCAGTAGAGTTACAGCTGTTTGAAGACACTTTGTCGACTCCACCCTGTGACACTCAACTTACTGAACTGCACGACACATAATACTATTCACATCTGCATTATGTCCTCAGGCCTTGGTGATGGGCAGACCCTTGTCTCCACCCCACCCCCAGCAAACTGAGCACTCAATAGCAGGTACTGAGAGCAAAAACAGTGCCCATTCTAAAGGCAGTTTTCAGAAATGAAGAAGAGCAGGAGAGGGATGCAAGTGAGAGCATGAAAGCTGTGAACACTTACACTGCTTGATGAAAGGAGAAAATCTGTTAGATTTGTTATAATTGGAGCAGCATATGTAGGTCTCAAAGGAATATATGGGCAACTGGAAAATACAATTTTAAGTACAGGGTACAGGGAAGAAGGCAACAGCAGGTGTTGGTGTGTAAGCAAGTCAAATTTAGGTGAAAGGAGAGCAGGCATGCTTCATTACAGAATCTTGGAAGCCATTCCCTGCAGATTTACGTGGGTAATTGAGGGTGACATTTAAAGTGTCAGGAGACAGTCTGGGAAATAGCTTCTGTATTCCACAGTCAGGTTCAAGTGCAAGGGAGGTCTTTGTAAACAGAGTTCCTGGCAGTCCTTTGTGATAGAGGAGGGGTCACTAAGACTGCTTAGGGACCCAGGTAAACTTCCAGCCTCCTTTCTCATCTCGGCGGACAAAGGCTTGTCCCTGGTGGAAGGAATGAGTTTTCACATTACAGTGAGGGCTCAGGGATGTGGAAAAAGCCATCTCCGTTTTATTGGGCAACACATCAGAAGTATAGTGAGGAAGAGCTGGCAGCCCTCCCAGGGGATTTGAAAGTTGAGAAAGGAAGTGAAAATCTTCCCTGTTGCTGGCAGTGCTGTGGGAAGGGGTTGTTCTCTCACCCCCGTAGTCAATTGTCATATCCTCCGTGGGGGCGTTTCCATAATCAACTGCATTCTCTAAAAACTGGGGAAATGCCCGGGTGATTTTTTTGGGATGCGGGGAGAGGGCACTGTAGTTAGCTGATAAGGTGTCATCAATGGTATTGAGGTCTTTTAACCCAAGTGTTTGAAGGACCCAGGGGTCCACTGCAGGGGCAGGTTGTTCTTCACAGTTAGCAAACTCACTAGAGAGGTTTCTCTTGGCATTTTTGCGATGGGGGGTCTCCAGAGGAAAATATCGTTGCTCTTTGGGTTTCCTCTTCGCCTTTCTGAATTTTCCACATGCTCTGGAGAAATCATCTGATGAAAGCAATTTCTAGGGAAGTAGCATTTGAAAATATACAGAGTCAGGTCATCAAGCAAGAACATCTTCTTTACTGTTGTCCAATTACACCTACTTCAAACAGTAACTAGTCACTTAAGTCCTTAGAAAACTTGATTAAACTTCTATTTTCACACACACACACTGATTAGATTACTATCTGTTTCTAAATTTAAATCTATTATGAGAATTTACTACTTAGAAATCCAATTTATATATTTTTACTAGTCATTTAAATGTTAAAAGGAATAAATGTTGAAATTTTAATCCAGGGAAGGAATGACTATTATTATAATGAAAATAATAGCAACTATCATGTATTAGACAGTTACATGCCATGATCTTATTTTATTTAAGTAGTATTAAAATCTCCTTTAATGGAGAAACTGATGGACACAGACAACAATGTGGTGAGAGCTGGAGGAGGGAGGGGATTGGGTGGAGGAAGGCAAAGGGGTGGGGCTGGGGGACATCTCTAATAGTGTCAACAATACAAAAAATGAAACTGAGGTACAGGCATACTAGTGACTTCCTAAAAATCATTCAGCCTAGATTTACATCTAAACCATCTGACACTAGACAGAACCAGGGAAGGGGTTTGGAGGCTGGGTAAAAAAGGCACGAGTTAAGATAAATCGATCAATCAATCAATCAATAACATATGGACACAGGAAATAAGTACTAAAACAATGTTTCTTGGTATTAAAGTAATAAGATATTCCAATAACATATCTTTCACAATCAAATAACTGTAAAATGACATATAAGTTTAAATGTTGGTATTTCTTCCTAAAGGAGAATTAAAATTAGTTGGAATTGCTGTCATAAAGAAAAAGAAAAAGGGAAAAAGAAACACCATGTTTTCCTCTTACTTCATTAACTTCCATAGCACTCCCATGTGATATGTATTATATGGTTCTAAATCTTGCAAAATTGAGAACAGGAGAGGAAAAACTGCCTAATTAATATTACTTAGTAATTTAATAACCATTCTTTTTAAGGGCCCATGATAATCATGAGGGGAGGTGCTCCCTTTTTAAACAAAGCTAACTGAATTGTAAAGAAATTAAAACTGGTGTGCCTTTTCTGTCTGAACTGTTATGTTCAGTAAGAGTAGGAAGAAGCATCATCAATTTACATTAAATAATATCAAATAATGTGGCTTTTCTAGAGAAGTAAGGTAAAGATTGATAGAAGCAATAATGATAACAGAATGGCAAAAAGATAACAAAAATTACAAAACCCAGAGGAATGAAGAAGAGCAAAAACAGTCTATGAGCAAACTATTTACCTCTGAATCAGAGTAATTCATTTTAAAAGTGTGAGTGGGGGGAAAATGTTCGTTAATTAGCAATATGTAATTGTCAGTCAAGAGATCTGGGCTCCAGTCATAGTCGTGACGTTTCAGAGCTGGAAAGATTCTTAGAAGGTCTCTTAGCCCCCTTCATTTACAGGTGAAGGCAACTGAGGCCCAAGTGAGAGTGATTCACTTAAGGTCAAATGCGTGATTAAAAGAGCCAGCTCTCTCAGATGTGATTCTCTTTCCAATGTCCCATCCATATAACTGTGTCTTTTGATTAACTTCTGCTGTTTCAGCAAGTCCCTTGGCTGGTTTTTGATTCTTAGACAACTGCTTTTGTAATATATGACTAAAATCTATACTCCAGTTGGTTCCATGAAATGACACATACAAATTTTCCCAAGCCCTAGCTGGGTGGCTCAGTTGGTCAGAGCATCATCCCATACACCAGAAGGTTGGGGGTTAGATCACTGGCCAGGGGACATATCTAGTTTGCGGGTTCAATACCCAGTCAGGATGTGTACAGGAGGCAGCCAATCCACATCTGCTTCTCTCTCATATCAATGTCCTTCTCTCTCTCTCTCTCCCCCCACTTCCTCTCTCTCTAAAATCAATAAATGTATCCTCAAGTGAAGATTAAAAATATTCTTTGGAAAGTGCTATATTTTGTTTAGAAAATTTCGTCCATCTTGTAAATGCATTTGAGGGCATGCTGTTTAGCACACTACCTACATTTAATCAAGGAGTTTTACCCAAATGGTCTCCTTTCTCAAATCACCAACCACTCTGTCTTTATAAAGGGGAGAGTTACATACCTTGGCTTTTTCCTCAAGACATTTCACCAAAGCAGAATTCAGGTATTGTCTGAGGTGATTATTCTCTTCATGTAACCTAGCAAGTTCTTCTTCCTTCTGCACCAGAGTATCTTGTAGCTGCAAAAAGTGGACAATGGTGAGGGCTGCCCCACTATGTTGACTTTGTAACCTTATAATAATGCCACTGATCCATAACCTGCTTAAAGCTGATTATTATTTTGTTTGTGTTAAGAACTCTACCTCAGGGATCCCTCATCCCCAGAGGCCTAAGTTCAATCTACACCCATCTACCACCTGATTGTTCAGTTTTGCGCACTGATTTTTTTGTTCATTGCAAAGTGTTTGAAGAGATTATATGACTTTGAAACTGTAACCACAAGGGAAAGTATGTAAGAAAATGAGCTGCAAGCAACTGTTTAAATACAGAAAAGGGTGTTCAGAATAATTTTGTTCCTTGCACCTTAACAAAAGGAAGAAGAAAAAAAGGTGAGTTGGTTTGCCTCAGCCTCAAATTGATCTGTTTCTGTGTCCACTTAATTAAATCGCTCTCTCAGGAAGAGCAACAAACAACATATGGAATATGAATCAATCTTTGTAAAACTTATAATCAGCATTCCTTCTTCAAGTGATGAGCCATGTTTGTGACTTAAAAATGTTATCACATTCATTATATCATTTGATCTTTCCAACAGTTCTCAGAGGAAGGCAACAACAAATATTCCAATCTCATAAATAAGGAAAAAAGGATTCAAGAGGTCATACAACTAATAAAAGGTGCAGAGCCAGGGCCTGACTTCCAGCCCTCCTAAAGGGTTTGGGTTGTTGTTGTTTTGGGTGTGTGTGTTTCGGGGGATTGTTTGTTTTTTCTTTGGTATTATCACCTATCTTTTATAACTCTATAGACATATATCCACTTGGGTCCTAAACTGAAAGTCAGCATATGAATTTATGGTACCAGGGAAAAGAAGCAGTGTGACACTTAGGGACAACATTAAGAACGGACTGCATGGAACACAGCCAGTCCCAGACCCTGTGTACATACCTGCTTGTTTCTGTAGAGCTGAGAGGAAAGCTGAGCCTCTTCCCACGAACAAGAGTTAGGAAAGGGGAAATTCAAGTCACTAGATGATTCTATGTGGAAACACCAAATGGGTAACTGAGAAAACACACTTGCAGTTTTTGTGTGATAAAGAATTCACCAAAGGATTTCAGAAACATTAAAAATTTCAGGTACTCTTCCAAAAATAGCTATTGCCTCGACATTCAAAAACAAAATATTTAAAGCTTTACAAAAGAGGCAGCATGCTATAAAAGACAAATATTTATAGACTATATGCCGGAGTGGCTGAAGGGGTCAATTTTTAAGAGCTAACAAGTTTCTCCCTCATATTCCTCCTTAATATTTGTATCTCTGCTGGCTAAATTTACAAAGACTGTCCCTTCTGCATTACTAATTCATTCAAATATTTATTGATCCTCCCCCCACCACTGGACATAGTGTAATTCTATTATAGTTTTAAATTTTTATGTTTTTTTTCTAAGCCTTAGTGCTTGAAAATGTAGTATTTGGTTCTAGAATCAAATTCTATTTTTGATGCTACCATTTTCCACAATAAAAATTTCTGCCTGTCCACCTGTCCATTAAGTCTGGTGGGCAATATTTATTCAGAATTGTGTGTGGTAGCAATTTCTGCCTTAAAATAATTTGGACCTTGCTTTTCTGAAGACATTGGTAAAATATCAAAACTATAACTCAAACTCATGCATTTCAAATGTTATTCTCTGTATGTTTTTCATGCATTTTCAAAAAAGATTTTAAAAAATCTTTGCCAACAAGCCATACCCACTAAAAGAACTATGCCTGGGCATGCTGAATTGGTTTACTTATATCTACTTTTCCTCAACTAGTACAATTGTGATTCTTGCTTTCCTCTACTTAAACTGACATACTACTGAAATATTTTTAACTAAAGTAGAACAATGAATAAGGAGACAAGAATAAAATTGTATACACTGCTTGATTTCATATTCTTGGGCATTCTGTTTCTTTATTGCTTGTGGTACAAAGCTAAAACTAGAAACTCTATTCCTGTTATATGTATTTTTAATAGTTTGGGGCTTTTGTGTTTTTTCTTGAATTCAAAAAAATTATGTGGCAGAATCAACAGTGCAGATATTTAATTCTGAAGTTGCTAAAGGTTCCTTCATAAACTTGAATGTTACTACAGAAATGCCTTCAATATATATAAATACTGCTTACTAAGCATCAAGTCAAAATTAATATGTAATTTTTCATCAGTGTTATACTTCCCTCCAAACTTGAAGTCCTCTTTGGACAAAAAGAATTATTTTTTCTCCTTACAAGACACTGTTTATAGAATTTCCTCTATGAAACAAAATATTAAGTCAGTATTTCTCCTTGTTTCTCTCTCATACCCAGGGAAACTTTCCTGAGTTCCAAAAGAAATGTTCCAACTGGTATCTTGACTCAAAAAAAAACATCCCACCAGTATTGCCTATGAAACTGTGTCATAGACCCAAATACTCTCAGTGAGTTGGAAATCTCTAAGAACTGAAAAGTGTAGGGAAAAATATAAATTGTCCAGTAGGCAAGGGAAAGAATTCTATTTTCACTATTTGGCAAGTATAAAAGAATAGGTTATTTAGCTTGTAAGATGCAGGGGTCTTTGAGCTTTCTTAAACTTTCCATATCATCCCTTCTTCTACAGACTTCTAACCCATGATGCTTTGCAACTGTGGGTTGCAAAGGGCTTCAGAGCTACCAGGAGAGCAGAAGAGCAGGACTTACCCTGTGCCTGTGGTGCTTGTTGGGGCTCTCTGTTGTCCAGGAGACCAGCAGCCCAGAAAGAGACCCAAGTATCCGTGGAAACGTCAACACCAGATTCTGACGTTGTAGTGGAATACGGGCAATTATAGTTCTGGCCTCCTACAAAGTACTGGTCTTGGCAGGGCAGAATGGTGTTCTGTGAAAATCAGTATGAGGGGTAGGGGGTTCCCAGGAGATGGGGTGATGGGGATTTGGAGAGAGAAGAGGGTGGGAGAAAGATGCCAAAATTACATGCAGATGAATCAAACACAGTAAAGGTGTTAAGTGTAGATCCCGGGTTAATTTTAAGTGATCAAAATATAAGTATTGGGGGGGGGGTCATCTCTTTGGTTTACCCAATACTTTCTTAAGGCCTCAACAAAGAACAGGCTAGTATTGGATGGACCACATTTTTACACATCCAGGAATAGTCTCTGTTGCCATGTCTGAGTCAACTAACAGGTTACCCAGGATCTAAGTAAAAGGAATTCTACTTCATGATTCAAAGACCTAAGAATTATTTGATTCTTTCTATCAAATACCTTAAATATATTTTCAATAGCCTCAAAAAACGAAGAATACTAGAACTAAAATAAACAGAACAATAAAATATAATCTAACCTCCTTATTTTAGTTCCTTTCTGAATTATAAACATGCCCCATTTGTCTCTTTTTCTTTCCTCTGGTTTTAAATGCTGCTGGATCCTCTGGTGAACTGAACTGTTTGAGATAAACACACAGATATTTTCCAGAGGTAACTAAGTAAATATAGTTCCTGACTCCTAACTAAACACAGGACCATAAAGTCACTCAAGGAAACATAGAATCAATGCTGAAAAAAATCAGTCAGCAGAGGCAGCAAGCTCTAGGTCTCTCCATCACTAGGTTTCAATACCCTTCCAAAGTTATCTTGCCACTCCTAACTTCCTGGCACGTATTCTTCTCCACTGTGTTCTGAGCCAGTGAACAGCCTCCTGCTCCCGGCTCCTCAAACGAAGTCTTTCCAAATGTCCAGGCAGGGGCAGGTATGCAGCAGCCTTCCTGGGTTAATTTGTACAAAAACTCATTTCTAAACATTTGTCAATGTTTAATCAGGTAAAAGCCATTCATTTCTGCAGAACTCAGCTTTGGACAAATTCTTTTTGACCACTATAAGTCTTTTGTTGACTAGAGGACTTTCTTGGGCATAACATAAACAGAGAGAAAACAAGTAAGAAAAAAAGAAAAAAGAAGTAAAAAAATAAAAGAAATTGCACTTTGTTAATGTTCCCGGTAAATTAAATTTTGAAAAAGTCCCATTTTGAAGCCAATCCAGCTTGGGCAGTGCAGACCAAAGAAATTCAGCCAAAAGTTTATCAAGTGCTGTTTTCTTTTATTCTAAAAGCATGTTTGCAGGCTCTTTCCCTGGGGTCATTACTGGAATTAGAGTTGAGCTCTTATGCAATTGACACCTGAGAAGAAAATAAACCCCAAATAGCCCTCGACTAGGTCAGGTCCAAGTGTTTGCAAATATGTGCAAAATCTAGAGAAAGAGGTGAAGTGAAAAGTGAATGCAGGTGTACTGGGAGAAATGTTGGGAGAATGTACAAAGAATAGAAATAACAGAGAGAAAGAGAGTAGAAATAAGAGAGAAAGAGATCAGGAAAATATAGGGGAAAAGAAAGGGAAATGGTTAGCAGAGTGTACCTGCCTTGACAGGTAGCAGAGAAATCTTGCTTCCAAGGTGGAAGAAAAAAATGCCAAGCTTACTAGCTAGCTCTCAGCACCCTGAGATTTCTCCAGTGAACTAGCTAACACCAGCTCCTCACTTACCATCTTGCAGGGGAAGAAGGCGCTGCAGAAACTGAACCCACTCTTAATTTTTCGGTAAAGCTGGTGGGAGTTTTAAATGGGACTGAGGGGAGGAACTAAGAGAGGCGAGTTCTAGTCTTCAGGAGCTGCGGGTGACGCGGGGGGCTCCCGGTGAGCGCCGCCCTCTGATTTGATACGAAGCTGTCAAACTGGTGACGTGGGTCAGGGAGCGTCCAGCCAAAGCCAAAATCACTAGCGCTCCTGGAGACCAGGGTGCCTGGACCTGAAACGTGCGGGTCGGTTGCGCAGCTGTGCTTCAAAACGCGCGCCTGTGCTGGCTCGCTGCCCGCCAGCGGGGCGTCAGGGGTGGCGGTGGCCGCGTCGTCCGGACACCCCCAGGCGAACACCGGCTCTCCACACCCCCGCACCCCCACTCGATGCGAGAGGCCGGGCAGGGTGGGGTTAGACTAGTCCGCAGGTGCCGTGGAGCAGGGTCAGTCCACATCTCAGAGATCCGGGCAGCACTTGGTGAAGCCATACAGCAGGACCTAGAGTTAATACTGCTCCTGTGTATTTTCCCAGCCACGTGATAATTATCAACTTCATGTATGACGTTGTGAGTTGATTGGCTTTCCCTGCTTTCTGTTTAATGGGTCTCATTTCTCCCAACTCCTACAGTGGGCATTCCATGTGAAGGTGATCAATCTCTATTCTATCCCTTAACCTTCAGAGAATAGAGGTTTCTGCCTGTTTTGTTAAGTGCCTGGAACACTTTTTAGTGTGTGATGGGGTGCTCAATGAAGAATGAATTAAGTTACAAATTAAGAATCTAAAGTGCCTATGTCTGTGTTGGTTTTATCTTTACAACCACTAGTATATAAATAAATTATTACAATTAAGAAAAATTAGTGTGTTTATACTTCTCAAAGTGTTTGATTTCCACCATCTTCTCTTGAATTTCATTTTCATGATTCCTGTGATTTTATATCTGAAGGAGTAAGAGGAGTAATATCATCTTTAAAATATTCATCTACCACTAATAGCCAACTTATTTCAAGCGACAATAACTTAAGAGGTAGGTGATTTTATCGTCTCTGGTTTAAAGGCTGGCAAATGATGCACTGAAGTTAAGAAGCTTAACTAGCCTTTACACAAGTAGGTAGTGGCAGACTTAGGATTTGAACCTCTGGCTCCATCATCCATGCTTCTAACTACTATATATTTTTTTTTACTCTCTTTAACTCTGTTCTACTGCCATTTGTGCACTGGGCATTTTTATGCACTGAGTTGTGCTCCCCCAGAATTTATATGTTGAATCTCTAACCCTCAATGTGACTACCTGGAGTCAGGGCCTCTAAAGTGGTAAACAAGGGTAAGATGTTGTAACAATGGTGCTCTAAGCTAACAAGACTGGTGTCCTTAGAAGAAGAGAAAGAGACCCTAGGGATGGCATGCACAGAGAAAAGGCCAGACGAGGACACAGCCAGAAGGTGACTGTTTGCAAGTCAAGGAGAGAGGCCTTAGGAGAAACTGAAAACTCAGCTGACACCCTGATCTTGGACTTCTAGCCTCCATAACAGTGAGAGAATACATTTCTGTTGTTTAAGTTCCCCATCTGTGGCTCTTGTTATAGAAGCCCTAGCAAACTAATACAGGCATGGTATAGGCATTGAGAAAACTTCTGATTCTGGCTTGCATTATCTTTTCTCTAAACCAGTTTTGACCTTTATTTATTCTTCCTTGCCTTGTACTTATCCATAGCACTTAGCAGTGAATTGCACGTAGCAGACACTCATTAAGTGCTCTCTGTACAAAATCAAGAAAGGAATTGAAGAGGAAGAGAGTGGAGGTGCTAGACTTCATAGAGTTCTTTTCTCCCATTCTAATACTGTTCATTCACAAGCATTTTAAAGTGGAGAGTGCCAGGTGTGGAGATGACTGGCTGGAAGATACTGTCAAGGCTACTGGACATGAGTGGTCCCCTCTCTGCTCTTACTGCACAAGGGGCAATATGACTCTGAGATGATGGGGGAAACAAATCAAAACCGGTTTAGGTAGTGAGAATCAGTGATCTTGTTTGGGGCAAAGAAAGCCCTAATTTGTTAGTTTTGTGAAGAGCACTACTAGATAAAGGAAGATTGAGTTTTGTTTTGTTTTTTTTTCTGTATGAAAACTGTCATAAATGAGACATGTGGGTTTCTGGAAGATATTATTTTCTGACTCTAAAAATGATTCAAAATGGACTATTATGAAAACATGGTGTAAAAATAAAGGGCATAGGCTTTGGATCCAAATACACCTGGGTTGAAATTCCAGCTCCACGCGCTGAGACCGAATCACCTGATACTAAATTGTCACTTTCTCTAAGTCCTCAGTTAGTTCCTCTAGTAAATTAAGAAAGAAACACCAATGTAAAAGGTTAAAAAACTGACCACCAGTGCTTGAATAATCCCAATTCACTGCCTATGTTATGAATAGTAGCTATTATTATTGTTTGGTGTAGAGGACATCACCTTTTGAACCTATGTGCTGCTGTGCCTCGCTTGTGAAAAATAACAGAAAATGAAAGCTACATTAAAAAACAGGATTTTTTTTGAGAGCTAAAGCATTTTTAAAGTATTTGATGGGTTTTAAGCATAACAATGTTTCATCAGTCATTAACTACTTTAGTAGAAGTGGGAATATAGATGGTGGCGGAGAATCCCTTAAGTTAAACAGTGAAGAGCTATTGACAATTGAATACAAATCTGAAGATAAAGCTTTCCTAAAATCATAAACTGATGGAAAAATTTCCAAATTCTTAAGGTCTGATTTAAGCACTTCTTTTTATTTCAGATCTACTGCTTAGGTATAAGTCTTACTTTTCCTGGTTGGTTGTTTGATGATTTTTTTTTCAATGAGTCAAGTAGGCAATAATATGACATCTTTTAGGTTTTTTATTCATATTTTTGAAAGAAAATGTACAAGCTCCTTAGTGATTGTAACCGATGTAGATGTTTTTTTCATCTATGAATAATAAGATCAGTTTAAAACTGCCTTTTGTGTTGTGGCTGAAGTGATGGCGTTAGAGGGGAGGTGGCTAATAACAGCCCAATTGTTGAGTCGGGGCACTGCCTCCTGCCAGGGCAGAGATACAACAAAATAGGAAGTAATTTGACCTGCACACAAACCAAGCCTGCAGACAGAAAAGAGTAGAGTATGATCAGAGGTGGGCCAAAGAGATAAATACTTTGGCATATGGAATATTCTTTTATTTCACCCCTGGAGGACACATTATTCAATTACCTCATTAGTGAATTCAGTAGCATGTATAATAAAAGAACAATTTTAAATTCTCTTTACAAGCATAGCTTTTTCCTATAGCTATAACAGCTGAATCTCCAGGCAATAAAAAGATAGTATTTCTGCTTTCACATGTAGGTAAAGAGAAGCATAACCCTTAGAGAAAATTCAGTGCAGTAATAATTTACTTTGGGAGATTTAACATTTGCATATTTTCTTTCAGCATAGCTGCAGAACCATGACACTTTTAGTTTGTAAAGGCATAGCTTTGAATTTCACCTCTCTGGAATGATGCACAGAAATCATTCATGTTTACATGGACAGAGTCTTGCCTTCTACCCAGTAGTTACATGTCAGAATAATTCTAGCAACCATCACATATGAAATAACTTCTGCCATGGAGGAAAGCCTTTTATACATGAACAAAAGGTATGCAGAAGAAACTAAACTGTTAATTCTGGCAACAAACATTTTCAAAATATGTTTGAGAAAGTGATATCAGGTTGTTAGCCAGAAAAGAGAAAGGCCTTGGATAAATTAAAGAGTAATATGTTCAATTCAATCCTGACTCCGAATAGCACTACATAGAGGAGTGTGTGTGGGAGGGAGGAGAAAGGAGATTTATGACACTATTTTATTGGATGTTTGAGCCAGATTTTATTTTAATATCTTTTTAAGTGATTGCCTAATTTTCAAATTATATTTGCATTACATCAAAGAAAATCATGTATTATTGTGTAATTTGTGAATAAACAAACTGAAGATTCTCAAGTATAATGGTATATTTTTCAAATATCAACAATCTACTTCATATTGAAGGATAACTGGCAAATAGATGTAGATATATATTTGTTACACAAAGTGAGGCAAAACCTGATGTGCACTGTGTAGCATTGTTTTCTGGATTTTCTCATCATATAGAACTTTAAAATGATGTTTCTGGGCAAGCTGGAATAAATAGCTGAAGCTTATCATGGCTTTGACAGGCATGAGAGTCCCCACTTCTCCCAGGGCCCATCAGGGCTCTAACTCATTGTGGTCTGGTGCACTAGTTGGGGAACTCTGCTCTGTGATAACCTGTATGGCCAAGTTGAAATACAGTAATCTCAATTCTGCTATAAAATACATTCAAAACAGTGAAATTAACTTGGCATTACCACAAAGGTTAGAGATGTGGAGCCCCAAACAAAACAAAATAAATATAACTCTCCTATTACTTTACTCCAACCACATTAGAAAATAATTAAAATAGTAAGTTATTAATGATAACTACACACCAGAAATGTACTAGTTCAATTATAATTTGAAATGGGATGAATTTCTGCTTCAGAAATCCAAGCATGCTCATAAAGTGGGCTCCAGTGCATTCACTGCTCCTAAGATTGCCCTTAAGGATTTTTGATAGCTTGGTGGATGGATTGCTGACTAGGTATTAAAGATCTGAAAAGTGAATTGTCACTGACCATGGCATCTAATTTTATCCTGAGGATAATGGAAATAAAGATATTGCTGTAGCTTCTTTGAAAAGTTTAGCCCATCGTGTAATAGCAAAACAGGACAAATGAAACCTGCTACCTTCTAACCCCTGAATGATCAGAGAACCTGCAATATTGTGATCTCTTCCATGAAAGAAAAAGACAAAGAAATATATTTATATATAAGATGTTAAGCTACAGTGAGGTTGTAATTCCATATTTTTGTAATCCACAGAAAGTTGACTGAATTCTTATTAATCCATTAATTTGTGGTAAAAATTGCTTTGTCATCAAACCAATCAAAATTGGTTTGAAAATTGTAAAACTTGAAAATTGTAACAATTTGCATGTTTCTAGTCACACTCTGTTTTCCACATTTGTTTTTCATAAAATGTAAGCATAATGCCAACCTCTAGCCAGTCGAAATATGTATACATTCAAAGTCAATATGATAAAAATACAGAGATTTATAACTTCTATGATATTAATGATGCTGAATGACATTACAATGAATGAGCAGAAGCCTTAGAAGTTGAGTAAAGTATTTCACTACAACAGCAATAAGGTAAAATTCCAAAGTCTTCTGTGAATGTTTTCTTTCCTTTATCCAACCAGAGGCCTTCCTGCTGTCACCTCTGGAACAGCAGTATTAGTACTGTGTGACAAAACCATGACCCATGATCTTCAAACACACAAATAAATTTCTATGGTTTGGCACCAAAAGCTAAGCAAGTGAACTGACTGAACTCTATGAGAAGTGGTTTATTATCCTAGAACAAAA